CACTACTACTTCTTACTACTGCTACCAGTACTACTAATCACTACCGTTACTACTACTGCCATTACTACTACTTATTAATGCTGCTACTGATACTGCTACCACCACTACTACTTGCTACTGCTACTACTGCCACTTCTACTACTCCTACTACTACTGCCACTACTTACTTCTGCACCAATACTACTTACTAATGCTGCTACTACTGCTGCCACTACTACTTACTACTGCTGCTATCACTACTACTGCTGCTGCTACTACTACTACTACCACCTACTACTACTACTACTACTACTACTACTACTACTACTACCACTACTACTACTGCTACTACTACTAACTACTGCTACTACCACTACTACTACCACTGCTACTGCTACCACTACTACTGCTACCACTACTACTGCTACCACTAATACTGCTACCACTACTACTACTACTTACTGCTGCTATCACTACTACTACTGCTGCTGCTGCTGCTGCTACTACTACTACTACTACTACTACTACTACTACTACTACTACTACTACTACTACTACGTCATTATGACTTGATGCATTCCCAAGGCCAATAAGTATAGCGTTGCTCACCAATGCCTACCACTAACATACATCCATTTTTCGTGCGAGTTATTTATCCCTATAAGGCAAGGGCGGACTTAAAGAAAGCCGTGCCGGGTAGACCGCCATATTCCGCTCTCTTCTTAGTACACTACTAGGTATGTTTTGATGAGGCTCTATTGCTTTACATGGCATGCAGGTTGGGCTGACAAAACGATATTTTCCGAACTGTAGTATAGATCCCCCCTCACTGATTCGGGTGGTATTCGCACGTTTCCATTCTCAGAAATTCGCTTTTCTGAAAATAAGTGACAGTGCTACGCACAGTTTGTCGGCGGATTGTCGAAGCGCAAGTGCATTAGACCAGAATAAACGCATTTTAAGAGTTTTAGTCGGAGTAACCCCACTCGAACTAGTGCGGACGAATAATACAATCCCTCTGTTATGAAAAGCGACGCTGAGCTTGCCTGACTAGCAGATAAAGATGAATCGTAGTGGGGGATGAAGACCGACTGAGGGAAAGTGAGTTAATGGGTGCTCTCACTTAGTTATTAGTCTCTGGTATTTCGCCTGGAGACCTGATTTTCGGTGTCGACTCCCAGCCTGTGTTCGTGTAAAAGCCATGCTATCAGATGCGATTCTCTCAGCCATGTCTTTACCTTGTTTCCTCTGTTGGGCAGTCTTTGTGCATTTGAGGAGATGACCCCCAACTTGTAGCCGTTTCTAGCGTTAGGTTCAGGTAGAAATTTGGGACGCCTGACGGGTGAATCCTTTGTCCCAGCGACTGAACCTCCTTGTGGCCTTCGCTGTCCATCTCGTGAGGAAGGTCCAGCCCTCACTGTGACAACTTCCGTCCATAGAATCATCCTCTTTCAATTTTATCTTCAGTTTCCTAGTCTCTAGTCTTTTCCTCGGGTATTAATCCGACTAAACAAAAAAACACCTCATACTCTGCAAGGCTACTTTTAATCTTAAGAGAAACCCCGCCTTGGGTCCGCTTTCAGGAGTTATTTTAAGTGAACAGGACGAGGATATCTGGTCACACAATGGCTCCATTTAGCTTGGTCGAGAAGCTTTATGCACTCCGAAAACTCCCCCGTCCTCAAAGACAGCGAAAACTGTAGGATCCTAGAGTTTATGGACGTTTATGTGGTTTATGAACCAGACTCCTACTTCTCTGTCTGTTTCGAAAGTTTTTTTGTCCCCAAGGAGTTTCTAGTGAATGGCACCGCATCGTCATCAGACATATCTTCGTCAGTGCTAGGAACCGGGGAACGAAAATTTGTGTATGATTAGCCGACTTATGAAGATGGCATTTGCAGAGATGTCGCATTGCCGCGGTGTTGTACGCAGCTTTGCCATGTTCGCCTCCATAAACTTATTTCTGCGTAAGCGTCTTGGCCTAGTTTACACTTTGACTGAGTGGAGTGGTGGAATCATCCCATAGAATTAATGGCGCGTGCTTCTGGTAATTCTTATCCGATTACTTGACTTCTCTGTCCACATTGTCAATCTCCGACCGCCCGAGGCGAATTCCCGAGTGGCTTTCACTTGCCTTCGCCTCCAGTAGTGAGGATTTTGCACTGTCATACGCATGATCGTTCCACCGCCCGCTGACAGTATTCGAAAGCGTCCTCAGTTAGTCGTCTTAACGTTGCTTTAACAGGCTCTGTGGTTGGGGGCTTGGAGCACGACGGGCAACTCTAGAAGTCGTATGTTCGCCGCACGTACCCCGCACTGCCAACAACTTGGGCCTCATCGCTTACTCGACCGAAAATTCCAGATGACGGCCATTCAGGTTGTCGGTCGTTAAGACTGAATAGTATTATCAGCCAACTCGCTGAGTTGAAATCCTCTTGCCACCGCTAGATCGAAGTATCCGATGGCAACGCGTACCAATCGCTCACAGCCGAGAAAGTAGTTCTGAGTCTACTTGGTGTGGTTCTACTCAGTCTAGTTGAACAGGGAGCACACTGTCTTACGGTTTAACATATAGGTGCTTTAGCTACTACAGTCACTAGGGAAAGATGACAATATAATTCAACGGCAGTAGCTCATTTCAGATCGCAGAACCAATCCCAAAGGATTGAGATATCCCACAAAAGCGGATTCCGGCTTGCCAAAACAGACACGCCGAACCAGATTAATGTAACTTGGGTGTCTTTGTGAAAAGAGGGCTGCTCATAGGCCAGCAAGGCCACTATACGTAGTCCTAGTGCTCAACTTCCATTACCACGTTCTGGAAGGTGAGTGCTTCTCATTCCCTCGGTAAGTGCGCCCTTCTTTATCAGATATCAAACGGTGTCGAACAGTCATTGAGGTCCCGTGTGGATTTGCATCTTACTTTACCGCAGAATCCACTGACGGAGCAATGGTTATATGAACAAATGGCCCTATTGAGCCCTGCCATGTCATTCTCTTGGTCTCGGTGGAATGCTGAGTGCCAGGACCCCAAAAACATTATTGTTTGTGCGACGGAGCATCTAGATGAGGAAGGCCCAGTCGACGAGGTAAGCATGCGCCTTTTACGTCTTTTCCACGAAATAATCTGTATATATTGTAAGGAATAGGGTCGGAGCTTTTTCACGAATACGCAGTTATTTAATGCAAAATAGGCCCAGACTAACTTTGAGAAAAAAATCCGCTGGATAGAACTCTACGGATGCATTCCTAACAAAATCTAACTGTCAGGCCTCATTAGGGGGTAATGAAGCTATTTAGGGGATCTTTGTGAATAGCTACCCTTAGAGACGCAGTATACAAAATGAAGGAGGATGCACACATTCTTATTTCTGCAAACAAATTTCTATCTCCGAACTTGCAGGCCACGATTGGAGTATTTTCTGTCAATCGGCACAACGTCGTCAAATTGCGCATCAAAGAATACGCGGAGACGTTCGATTCCACACCCGATCCAAAACACAAGGTAAGTTCGATTAAATCTAGGATACATTTATATGCCGAACGAGTGTAGATTCGGTTAATGAGTGCTGGTTCGGAGGAATGCGCACATTGAAATCTAAAGTCCGATAAGGGCGACGGAGACTGAAACGGCTATTCTCGACGTACACGCCGTCATCAACCAGCCAGTCTCAAGTCCAGGCCCGCCAGACCCGAGGACTTTTTGAATCAGTTATTCGATACTTGATAGTGTACAATGAAGTCCGCCGGCACAGGGACTTCCTCAATGGGGTAAAGTTCTGCAACGAATGCTATAAGATCCGACGTAAAATCAGCGAGGTTGGCCGACGACTGAGCCAGAGACAGCTCCACCACGCAGTTGAAAAGCGTCATTTAAAGGGTAGGCTTCCCTTCACGCAAGTATGGATCAGGTTGTACAGTTCACTAGTTAGAATCCCTAAGCAGCATCCCCAATAAGGGTCGACCTGACTTAATTTTGGAGGCCATGGTAAGGGCTATAATAAGTGCAACAGCACTCTAAGAAAGCAGTTGGTGAGGAGGCCTAAGAAAATACTTCGCCTAAAATGCAATGATAATGCCATCTGGCTTGGGGTCACGCTTTCTCTGAGACATGTAGTTCGGACCACGAGTTAACCTTTAAATAGATAGAATCTGAACCACCGGCGCAGTGTGTGACGCAACGAGTCCAACATATGACGATAAAACATGGTCCGCGGGTTTTCTGAATGAACATTACAAGCAATCTCACGAAAAAAGACGTCGACTGTTACTGTTTGATGACCGCAGCTGATTGGCCAGATTTTTCGGATTTGCGGACTTTAGTCGTTTGCATTTCATGGCGGTACATCGCACTATACCGAGCATACCCGGCGCTTAGACGAAAGAAAACTCGGGAAATTTGGTCGGTGGATGCTTGGCTTACATATTCATCAGGCCGAAAACTGCTCAGTTACTAAATCTACACGAAACCCAGGCCAATCATATCCAAGTCCTTCCAGGATCGTAAAATCAAGATCCGGAACAACATGCCGAACATACAGATATATTTTCCAGTCGGCAGTCATAAAGATTACCGGACGCCACATAAACGCTCTTAAAAAGCTTCCCTTGCTTCTGTTATACTTAGCCGTTTACTGCATTTATCCTTGTAAAACGCCTTCTAAGCTCCACCGAGGTAATTGATTGGGGTGTTTTCATACCCTTTAGCACTTGGTACAGAGATACAATGGAGGCTTGAGAGTGACTCAGTCTTTTGTATTTTGAGTTGTATTAAAAGTCACATCCTATTAACCCTAACAAGAATGTTCATTTCTTTCAGTCCCATGCGGACTTCTTTCACATGTACATGGAGATCGGATCGGATACAGGGAAGCAGAGAGTGCGCCAGATCGACAGCCGCCACTTTAAGACTGTGCATCGAATACTAAAAGCAACCCGTCTTGCAGTTTTTTCATGAAAATTTTCGAGTTTATAAAAGCACTAGGTATTTGCTAAAACAGTTTTCTTCCCAACAAGATAAACTAATGGCAAAACTTCTTGATCTTCTCCATTATCTCGCTTTTGGATGCATTGTCCACTCGCACCGCCGCCTCCTTCCCGAATTCTAGCAGCAATCAGAAAAAACAACAAACTTGACTAACCGTAGCGGGCGTAGATGCTTGGGCTGACAGAATTGCCTTCGCGAATCATAAATTTCACATCGGGGTTAGCTTTTCTTAGTCCGGCGTAACCTGATAATATAAATTCCCTAAAAATAAGTGGGTTAATCATGTCAGTCGGACATGCAATCTTTGGTAGTCCTAAAAGGTAAGTAAAATTCGGAAATCACTATGGTGCGATTACTTGTTGTATAGTAGTGTGGCAGAGAACTATACAGACCAAGAAAAGAACACTGCCTGCGGTGCGCGAAACAACGTAGAAGCGTAAAGGAAGGAGAGTGGATGCACTCCCGTGCGACTCCAGCAAGAGCCCAACTTAATACCCAAAACCCTTCCTAGGCCCAGTCACGAGTGCCGGCTGTGTGGCCGTTAAATTGGTACGATCGTTCTTCGTCTTAGTGTATTTTCCACTTATATCTGCCTGACTTCAGTCTGATATAACAGTGTACATAAGCTGGAATGCCTGAATACGGCTCACATAATAAACGCATATCGGAAGGAAACACAGACGAACCTAGTTGTTTTGGGGACGTTTTAATAAGTTATTTTAATGCTTTTAAGTGCGGAGCCTCATACCACAGTCCCACTCGTTAATGATGTCACGACTGTTGCTCTGCCGGTTCTATCGAAAGTAAGCGAGCCCAAAATAGTACGGATAAGGGTATCCTAGCGAGAAACGTTCCTCATTTAGGCATTCTTAAGATAATTATTGGGACAAAAGCTTCATGTGTACGACTTGAGGACCTGTATCCATCAGCTAGTGAGCAGAAAGAAGTAGACTTTGAGGATGCAAAATCCGACAAGACATTCTGGACGCAAACAACATTCTAATACCAATTGAATGTCTCAAATTTACACATAATTAGGTGGGACGGGACACGACTGATGTAGCTGGAAACCCGGGATAGGGCTTTTTGGGCAGCCTAGCTACAGCCCGAGTAGTGGGTCTACGACAGATCCCTCTTAAAGAGGAGGAACGACTACGGGCCAAGTCAGAGGGAAGACTGACGTACGAGGAAGGGCTGGCCGTGTAATAGTGACACTGCAACACTGGTTAAGGGCCAGGCTGGAGAGTCAGCGAGTAGGCGAAAGATTATGTATGCAGGGTAGTACGGTGGCGTGGAGATCACCGTGCATCGGCACCTTACAGGCGGGTTATATCACATTAATCTGCAGAAATGACCTCAAAGGGACATGTCGGGTGGCCGCTCGAAACCGCCCTGTACCAAAAACTCCTGCCACCCCGCAAAGTACGCTCCTGAGCCACCTATAAACAAAGTCCGAAGCAATGATGATACAGAAGGCAAGGCAACGGAAGGAGTCATAATGAGGGATTAAAAGTAAGGGATCTTGTCGACTTGTTGTCAAAGAGCGGCTACTTTGAAAAATTATCGGCAAACCGTGTTAACAGTGGTAACTTTATGAATTCAAGTCACCTCACTCGGCTATGTTAAGATATGATGAAGTAAAGCATATACAAAGAAACGTATGAGTCCAGACAAGGGAGTCGATGGCAAGACTGGCGCGGGAAGTTGGCAGGAGTCACAATTGATAGAATGTAAACAGTCGGGATGAACATATCCAACGAAGGAACCGCTAGCTTTTCCCTGATTTTATCTGCATCGAACCAACGACCGTAGTCGTCTGGATTTCTGCGCTCTGGTAACAGACCGTTTTTCGGAACTTTTGTCTGATTCTCACCAACAAACTGGAACTTATCGACTTACTGTTTGGATTTGTGATCTTAAGCCGCGAAATACAAGGAGTAAATGGCGGTCTGAGAAGTCCGGTCCCTATTGTCAGATATCCGCCACGAGGGCCCAGAGGGGTGCGAAGGACGCGCGTGGCAGGGAATCACTTAAGAGCCATCCATGCTGTACAGCTACGATTCCACCTGATCTAGCCAGCCTCGATAATGACACGCATTGCAGCCCCTTATGGGCGACGATTCATGACAGAGAGATGGAAATCGGCTCATTCTTTTCATCAGTAAAAACAAAAATATTGAAGCAGAAATTTCTGGAGGGGGAACCTTCTCAAACTAACATGGTCAACAGTCCCCGTGATCATAAACCGATAAAAATACCTCGTCTACTAACAAGGCTGCCAAGTTAGCTTTTGTAGAATTCGGCGACAAATCCAATACACCCGTCGACAGCTAGCATCGCCATTTCTCGGACTTAGATTGCACTTGACTTTCTAGTCAAATAATGTATGGCTGTGGAAACTGGTCTGGAGTTTCACACGAATATAAAGACGTATGCATTAATGTAGCAGCAGAATGTGGCGACCACTGGGAAGAGTGGTGGGGGCTGAATGGTTTAGTAACTAGTGCACACTGATTGCCAATCAGCGAGGAACAAATATATCAAAGATAAAATAAGCATCCACAAGTGGATACTAAACATGAACCCACTTAAGGCCTTTGCTTGAGGTCCCCAACGGAGAAAACAGAAAGCGCAGCTCCTTTATGGAAGGACTGAGCTTAAGAGGACTTGCCATCTTGGCTTACGGAGGGCGAGCAGGAAAGGAGCCTAAAGATGCAGCCTATAACCAAAAAATCACAACGTGCACACGTAACTAGACAAATAAACAAAAAGAAGTCAAAAGATCTCAAGGGTAACCAAAAAAACAGTTAGCCGATGTCAGTAGCAAATCCTTTCCTCAGTGACTCAAATAAAAAAAATGTGTAGATAAATCTACTAGGTTGGTTATCCGTTGAGGACCTGCTTAATGCCAGTTTTTACATTGCCAGACAAGACTGGAGTTCTATCCCGATCCTCAGTAGTTTCAGTGTGTCCTAGAAAAATTTCATTGGGCAGAATCCAAGATGAATGTTGGAGGCGTTTGGCAGATATGGAATTCCATTCTACTCGATATCTATTGCTACTAGCGAAATAGGCAAGTGATGTGCATAACTCTGAATTACCCTGATGGGATCTATGATCAGTATTCAGCAATAGAATATATATCAGGAAAAAGCATTGGATTCAAGAGGGACTTCATATATGGCTGAGAAGAATGAGAGAATGCGGCTTCGAGGGACAACAGATATGCCGAGGAATTTTCAAATTTTTTTGGACGACGAACGATACAAAGCAGGCATAGGGATCAGCATATTTTTCTTGATATATAGTGCGAGTTCTAAAAGCAATGCTCATCCTGCATTCAAAATTATAAAGACATTTTTGTTAGGGACTGTTTCTCTCTTTCATGCGTAATGCATGCTGTCAGTCATGTTAAGTCGCTTAAATTATTACAATGCTGAAATTATATGTAGTTTCGCGGTTGTCTGATTTCCGAAGTAGACAATCCGTTAAACAGTACGCGTACTCTTTGGGGCGTCATCGCTCGGAGTTTTCAAGTTTCGAATAATGCCCTTCCAGGTCCTGTTTTTGCGTAGACTGGAAGAAAAGATTTAACGTGGCGCCGTTATTCGTGTGTAGACTACCCGAATCATTAGCAAAATCTATGTATGTATGTATGTATGTATGTATGTATATTGAAGGGTTACAGGCAGAGCCCTTGATGACCCTATTTATGTACAGTGCTTTCGCAGATTCATACTCAAAAATAAAATACAATTGCAGGCATTTAAATGTGATTGGGTCACAGTTCAATCGTAATCATAAGGTAGTGCATAAGGTCGCTGTAAATTAGTGCGGAAGATTGTATATGACAGATTTTACAAAACTGGCTGTGCATAGTCATGCTGTACAAGCCGATTTCTGTCGAAAACTAGACGAGCAAGTTTTATTTTAAACACACAAACTGTGTCAGCCCTCACCATCTCGCTTGGAAGCGAGTTCCACGGCCTGACAACCCGCTGGCTGAATGAAAATTTTCGTCGGTCTAAACGCGTGCTCTCATTCCCGACTTTGTATGCATGGCCGCGTAGTTGGTTTGTACGGGCGAACTCAAAGAAGTCCTCTGTTCTTAATGAGCAACCCTGGCCGCGAACAATCCGGAAGGTCCAGAGTAGACTGCAGTTTATTTGTCTATAAGAGTGAGGGAATAGACCAAGCAAATTTAGCCTCTCCTGATAAGACAAATGCTTTAGACCGTCGACCATCTTTGTCGCTCTGCGTTGCACGTGTTCGAGTAAGTTGATATCCTTCCTCCTTCATGGTGAAGCTGCTGGCATTCCATACTCTAGATGAGGTCTTACAAAGACACCAAAGAGTCTTTCGAAAAGTTCAGGAGGAAATATTTTAAATGCGCGTCTGATCCAATGTAGAGTACTAGTTGCATTCTGGACCATTTTTCTGCAGTGTTCTGATGGCGATAGATTTGTGGTCGTCCATACACCCAGATCTCTGTGTCTTTCCACAGTTTCTAACCTCGTCCCGTCAATATAGTACTGGTGTTTGGGAGAGGCATTGCGGCCGGTGTTCAGGTGCAAAACCACGCATTTGGACACGTTAAACTTCAAAAGCCATCTGTTCGACCAAGCAAACAGTTCGTCGATGTTCGACTGCAACTTCTCTGCGTCATCATCACACTTGACTTCACTCCATATTTTTATGTCATCCGCGAACATGAGAGCCTCGCAATTCACTTCGCTGATGCAGTCAGGAAGAGTACTGGGCCTAAGACAGAACCCTGTGGGACACCACTTCCCAACTTTACCCATTCCGAGGTAGAATTACTAACGACGACTCTTTGTAGTCTGGAGGACAGAAAACTCCTGATCCACTTAAACATTCTCCCTTGAATCCCTACATCCCAGATCTTTTGTAGAAGAAGCCTGTGTGGGACACTGTCAAAGGCCTTCTTGAAGTTAAAAAATATGACATCCAGTGGAAAACCTTTATCGGTAGCTCGTGTCCATTTCTCGTGCGAGTAAAGGACACTCGTTAGGCAGGAGCGCCCTGGACGAAAGCCGTGTTGGGCATCGCACAATATTTTGTTCTGTTCCAGGTATTTCATCAAGTGTCTTTTGATAATGCGTTCCATTATTTTACACGCGATACAAGTAGGACTGACAGGACTGCAGACAAGTCTGGACCACCTCGAGCAATGGTCGAAAGACTGGCTTCTACCGTTTAACGTAAACAAGTGTACTTTCCTACGCGTCGGCAGAACCAGTTCTCCTGTAAGATGATAGTTGGTAGCCGTGCCCACAGACTCCACAATGGTACCTACTGGCTAGATTTCAGTAGCTGTGATTGCGTTTTCATTATGCTTCCAAATTCACACGCACGCTGTATTACCTGTATCAGATTCATTTTAGAGGTACTATCCTGGGCAGATTTGCACCGGTAGCGATGATAATATGGCTTACCATATGTCAAATTTCATTAGAAGTGGGAGTTGGCAACCGTGCCCACAGAATCCACAAATGTACCTACTGGCTTGATTTCAGTAGTTATGATTACGTTCTCATTATGCTTCTAAATTTGCATGCGTGCTCTATTACCTGTTCCAGATTCATTGTGGAGGTACTATCCTGGGCACCGGTAACGATGACAAAGAGGCTTTCCCTACATCAACTTTCATAAGAAGAGGTAGCTTTTGACTGCCTCATTTATTTTAGAGGTACTATCTTGGGCGGATTGGCACCGGTAACGATGCCAATGAGGCTTACCCTTTATCAACTTTCATTAGCAGAGGTAGCCTTCGACTGCCTCATTATTTGCGGATTTTCTCTTCCGCCTAAACCAATTTCTCGCATAGCAGTCTTACCCGGCTTGCGTTGTGGCGTCCCGCGTGCCGCTGCATGACTCTCGGGCTCATCTGTCCATTATGTTGTATGGAGTTCTATCGCGCACACTGCGGAATGACCTTCGGACCAGTTGCCTTCTTCCCATTGGTTGTTCGCCTTCACTTACTTTTCTTTCCAATCTGAGGCTAGGATGCATTTATATCACACACCGTTCAAAGTCTCTTTGCTCATTTCTATACCTTCCTTGTATTTTTCACCTAATCTAAAGTAGGCCTTCACTTTACCAGGAACTTCGATTCCTAGCATATAATACAATCGCCATTTACCCGTCCACTCAAATGCCCTAACCGTATAGGTCCTTTTACCACCGGTTCCGATTGACAGGCAGCTGGGAGTTTGCGGGGTCAGGATGGCTACCAACTATCATCTAACCAGTTCTCCTAACCACACGGTCTACCGTCTGACTGGCAAACCACTGCAAGAAGTCGACGCCCAGAAGGGCTTGGGTGTATGGATCACAACCTCGCTTAAGCCTTCGCTGCAATGTTCAAAGGTGGCCAAGTCGGCGATGTCCATGCTATACCTTGTCAAACGGGCGTTCTCCTCCTTTGATGAAGACTGCTTCGCCAAGGTCTTTCAAACTTTTGTGCGACCGCATCTGGAGTTTGCTATCCAAGCATGGCGACCCTGGACCGCTAAAGACTTGGACATACTCGAAAAAGTTCAACGGCGAGCAACAAAACTTGTATCTGGGCAGTGGTCACTACCCTACGAAACGCGATTAGCTAATCTTGACCTCTTTCCTTTGAGTTACAGACAGCTACGTGGGGACCTGATACAAGCTTTCCGCATCGTGCGCAATCAGGGCTGCTGCCTCGCGTTTGGAGACTTCTTCGAGTTGGCGACTACGACTAACCTTAGAGGCCATCCACTCAAACTGCGTGTGGCTGGTGTTCGGCTAGACACCCGAAAGTTCTTCTCAAACAGAGTGGTTTCAGCTTGGAATGCCTTGCCTGAGGATGTTGTTATGTCAGGCTCGGTAGGTGCTTTTAAATGGAGACTAGATCAGCATTGTAGCGCGCACCATAATAACGCCGGACTACGGCCACCTTGACAGCCAACGCGGACAATTTAGTTTTATAACGATGCTACTACCAACATTTAAGTAATATATGTTTATGTTATTTATTAAGCTTGGCCCACGTCGCACGCCGCTGTTCGCATTCACCACGATGCCTGTAGACTAAACAATTTTACTTCTTTTCCCGTGTCTTAAGTGTGCCTCAACTGTCCGCTGTCTTTTGACCAACAAAACAAGTTAATGCGCCTCTAAACTCTGTTAAAGCATGACATTCTGTGTTCATCTGTACAGTTTTTGCTATTCCCCTCGCATTTCTTTCATGTTATTTCCTTTCCATTTCCTCCATATATATCCTCTGCATGTAACCAATAGGGATTTCAAAGGTACACACCTACTTTCCCTGAAATATACTGATACTGACTGACGATAATTTCCGCAGTCAAGTCTTGAGCCTCCTTTATGGATCGGAGAAATGAGTGCGCACTTCCATTCTTCCGGGAGCTCGCCGTCTTCAAACGACTTTTTTAATATTGCGGATAAGGGTTTGCACAGTTCATTAGCAAGTTCACGAAGTGCTAGGGCGGGAATTCTATCTGGGCCAGGCGATTTGACAGGTTTCAGCCGGAGTAGCTTGGCCCTAACTATGGTAGATGAAAAGAGTGGTTCCCCGGTTAAGGAGGGTAGGTAGGGGATAGGATGGGGAAGGGTACTGGGAGAAGAGGTTGGTTGGCGAATGGATGGATGGGCAAATATAGC